GCCTGCAGACCCCACTTACCTAATGGCACCCCTAACATTCCACACACCTGCTATCCATTGGCCAGCTTCTTGTGAATGCCTCACAGACAGTGAGTGCAGGAATTTTCAGATGGCTCATGGGCATATTTAGAAAGCCAAATTGACTCCACAGGAATGGTAGAGAGCACACACTTGAACATTCAGTACTGTGTCCAGGAAAGGAAACAGGAAGCTGTCAGGACCCTGACTGACTTTGCAGGTTTGAAAGAAGGCATATAATCTAAGAATTCCCTCTCAAGTGGTAGCAAAACATAGGGAGCAGATGCATCTATTAAAAAGGTCTTTAAAAAGCCTCAGAATCTATAACAGATATATTTATATTAATACTGACTTTTTTGAAAAGATAAACAAAATTGACAACAAAATCCGCTTTAGCTGATTAAGAGGGAGAAGATCAAATAAACAAAGTGAGAAATGAAAGGAGACACATTCAACTGATGCCACAGAAATACAAATGTTCATAAGAGACAACCATAAACAATTACATACCAACAAATTGCATAACCTAGAAGAAATGGGTAAATTCCTTTAAATACAAAACTTGCCAAAACAAAATCATTAAGAAAAGGAAAATCTGAACAAACGATAACAAGGAACAAGACCGAATCATTAATTTAAACTATTTCTGCAAAGAAAAGTCTAGGACCAGAAGTTTTCATTGTAATTTAAAGAAGAATTAATACCAATTCTTCTCAAACCATTCCAAAAATTTGAGGACAGGGGGCACTTCCAAAACTACTTTATAAGATCAACATTATTTTAATACCAAAGCTAGACAGGAAATTACAAGGAAAAAAATTATAGGCCAGTATCATTGATAAACATAGATACAGAAAAGCTCAACAAAATATTAGCATACTGAATTCAACAGCACACTAAAAGATTCATACACCATAATGGAGTTGGGTTTATCCATGAGACTCAAGAATGGTTCAAAAAATGCAAATCAGTAATGTGATACACCACTATAACCACTATATTAAACCACTGATGAAAATAACTAGATAAATTAAAGATTTAAATATGACTTGAAACCATGGAAGTCCTAGAGGATACATAGGGAAATATTTTCTTGACATTGGTCTTAACAATGATATTTTTTGGATATGACATCAAAAGCACAGATAGTAAAAACTGAAATAAATAAAACTATATCAAATGTATCAAATGAAAGAACTTCTACTCAGCAAATCAACAAAATGAAAAGGCAACCAATGGAATGGAAGAAAATATTTGCAAATCATAGATCTGATGGAGGGATATATAAATAATACAACTCCTACAACTCAATAACAAAAAATTCCAATTCAATTAAAAAATATGCAAAGATCTGAATAGACATTTTCTGAAGAATACATGCAAATGCCTAATTGATTCTTAAAATCACTAATCATCAGGCATATGCAAATCAAAACCACAATGAAGTACCACCTCATACCTGTTTTATGGCTTTTATCAAAAAGACCAGGCATAACAAGTGTTGGTGAGATGTGAAGTAAAGGAAACATTTGTATACTTTGGGTGGGAATGTAATTTGTTATAGGGGTATGAAAAACAGTATGGAAATTCCTCAGAAAGTTAATAGAACTACCATATGATCCAGCAATCCCATTTTGGGGTATATATCGAAAAGAAATAAAATCAGTATATTAAAGAAATATCTGCACCCTCACGTTCATTATAGTTTTATCCACAATAGCCAACATACAGAAACAATCTAAGTGTCCACTGATGGATGAATAGATAAGGAAGATGTGGTATTGGGCACCTGGGTGGTTCAGTGATTGAGCATCTGCCTTTGGCTCAGGTCATGAACCCAGGGTCCTGGGATTGAGTCCTGCATCCGGCTCCCTGCAGGGAGCCTGCTTCTCCCTCTGCCTGTGTCTCTACTTCTCTCTATGTATCTCATGAATAAATACATAATTTTTTTTAAAAAGGAAGATGTAGTGTATATATATATATATATATATATATATACACACAACGGAATATTATTCAACCATGAGAAAAAAGAAAGTTGTGTTATTCACAATAACATGGTTGAACCTAGAGTGCATTATGTTAAACATAATAAGCCAGACATAGACAAATATTTCATGATGATCTTTTATATGAAATCAAAAAAGAAAAGGTCAAATTCTTAGAAGCAGAGAATAGAATGGCAATTCTCTATGGCTTGCCGATAGGGTAAATGAGATGCTGCTTCGAGGATGTAAGCCTTCAGTTATAAGATGAATAATTCTGAAGATCTAACATACAACATGATGGCTGTAATTTGTGATAATGTATTGTACAGCTGAAATTTGCTAAGAGAGTAGATCTTAAGCATTCCAGCTAAAAAAAACACAAAGGATTTATGTGAGGTGATTAATGCGATTTGGAAAATCATTTCCAAATGTATATGCGGACCAAGTCATCTCATTATACAATTTATATACACAATTTTGTCAATTATACTTCAATAAAGCAGAAAGGAAAACCTATAATAGACATACAAAATATAATAAGTATCAAAGTAAATAACTATAAAACATAATCAAATAACAAAAGAAGTCATCAAAAGTGGAAGAGTTTGAAAAAGCAATTGCTAAAGAGAAGACAATTAGCCAAATGTGAATAGTAATTGTTTCCCTATCAATAATTCCTTTAAATGTAAATGGATAGAACTTACCTATTAAAAGGAATACAGTACCTGAATGAGTAAAACAGACAACAAGAACTCACTTTAGATTTAAAGACACAATAGAGGGCAACCCAGGTGGTTCAGCAGTTTAGTGCTGCCATCAGCCTAGGGTGTGATCCTGGGGTCTCAGGATCAAGTCCCATGTCAGGCTCCCTACATGGAGCCTGCTTCTCCCACTGCCTGTGTCTCTGCCTCTCTGTGTGTGTCTCTCTCTCTCATGGGGAAATAAATAAAATATTTAAAAAAAATAAATAAAGACACAATAGGATAAAAGTGAAGGAATGGAAAAAGAGATTTCCTGCAATTGGCAACCAAATAGTGGTTATACATATATGCAAAAAAAAGAAAAAAGACTTTATGTCTAAAACTGAATTACATAATAATAAAAGTCAGTTCAATAGGAAGATGCAGCGATTTTTCAACATATGTGGATCCAACATTGGAATTCCTAAATATAGCAAATATCAACAGACGCAAAGAGGAGACTTGACAGCAATACAATATTAGGAGACTTCAATACCCCACCCTGAATAGCGAATAGAACCCTCTGACCAAATTCAGGAAAGAAACTATAGATTTGAACAATATAAACAAAATGGACCTAATAGATATAACAGAATTTTCCACCCAACAGTGGAAGAGTACATTCGTCTCAACTGCACATGAAAGACTATGCAGTATCTTTTTCAACCACAATGGAGTAAAACTAGAAATCAGTGACAGCAAAAGGAATGATATAATTCACAAATACATGGAAAGAAGACAGTTGTCAAGCAACAATTAGATCAAAGAGGAAAGTGCAGGAGAATTTTTAAAAATACCTTGAGACAAATAAAAATTTAAAAAATATATAACAAGATTTAGATATGCTGCAAAAACAGTGAGAAGAGGGAAGTTTAGTGACAAATGCCTACATTAAATACGGATCTTATATAAAGAACCTAACTTTATACCTCAAAGAACTAGAAAAAAACTAAGCCCAAAGTTAGAAGGGAGTAAATAATAAAGATCAGAGCAGAAATAAATCAAATAGAGAATAAGAAACACCCTATTCCATCATCTCACTAAAAATAACCTATTCAAATTTATGTGTATATTGGGTTTTCTTTGCTTTTCTTTTTCTAATTTCTTAAAGAGGAAACAATGAGTTGATATACAGTCTATTCTTTTCTGTTGTATCTGTATAATGTTAAAAATTTCCCTCTCAGCACTACTTTAGTATCATCTCACAAAATTTTATTTAAAATGTTTTTCTTATCATTTAATTCAAAAGACTTAATGTCTTTTTACTTATTTATTTACTTATTTCTTTTAATTGTTTAAGTAGGCTCCATGCCCAGTATAGAGCCCAACATAGGGCTTGAACTCACAGCCTTGAAATCAAGACCTGAGCTGAGATTAAGAGTCATGACTGGGCCACCCAGGAGCCCCTTTAATGTCTTTTTTTAAAAAGATTATATACTTTTAATTCCATATCCTCAGTGTTTAATACTCCAAGTATCCCATGTCCAGTCTACTAGGTGCCCCAAGTGAAGGAATAAAACGACCAATTATGAAAACATATATACTCCATGTTTTCTCTTTTGAATTCTTTATCCATGGGCTATTCAATAAATAAAGCTGAATTTTGTGAAGAGACCTGATGATAACTGACAGAAGTCTTCTTTGCTTGCTTCAAGTTAAGTTATATACATAATTTGAGGATCATTGTTTTGTTCTTAGAAGATAAATGAATGTAACGTGTTAATCTGTGTCATATTCATTGTTGAACTCCATTATGGTTTCAGTCAGTCAGTTGTGATAACAAACATTTCAAATGGTCAGAGTTGCAGTAGCTCTGGTAGCAGATTCTCTGAGATCATCACCTAATCTGAGATAGCCCATTTAGTTAACCAAATACTGGGGTTGCTAAAGAGATCCTAAATAACTCACTATTTAAAACAATTGCCTAGAAAGGATCCATTGCTATGGAGTATAGATGCTATGGAATTCCAGATCCATTAGACAAACAAATTTCTAAAAAATTCCTAGAAGGGATTGTGAGTATTTTGAATTTTGCTTCTAAATTCCAAAAAAAAAAAATTTAATAAACTATCCTGATTTAGTATCTTTAGAAACTTTTAGCTTATTTTTTCTGTCACAAGAATTTGGGTGATTCAGGCTTTTCTGGGTTTTCATTTATAAATGACTCCTTATTTTTTATACTGTTACATTACTTGAGCCTTTATAAAAATATTTATTTATATGCTGTCTTTTCCTTATATTTTCTCCCTTTCAGAAACATGTTCAACATCACAGATAAAAATTGAAAATGGATTTTTTTCTGAATATGAACTTACATATGTCTTGGCTACAGTAACCCAATATCAGTGTAAATCAGGATATTTAACACCAGATGGTAAAATTTCAGGAACAGTTAAATGTCTGGAAAGCGGATGGTCACCTCAACCCATATGCATCAGTGAGTAATTTATTATGTTCATATTCATTATCCTGATGATCGTTGGGCAGAGGTTTACTTTAATTCATTTCTTTTCTGGGAGGAGGGGCTGACATGGTTCCCATTTGAAAAGATAAATGAAAAAAATATGTCATTTTTTGCCTTTAAGATTAATCACTTGTAGGGTGGAATATCAGTCCATTCTTCAGTTCAGTTTTTCTTCCACTTTAAAACATCTTGTGATTAAATAAATAAATAAATAAATAAAATAAAGCATCTTGTGATTTGGAAACTAGATAGGGAGACTTCTGTGTATTCTCCTGTAACCTAGTTTATTTTTGGCTGACATCTTTGTTCCTATTGTACCTGTTTTTAGGCGATTAAATTGTTATGTCAGAGTTTTTGTTCCCAGACATAAGTTACATTTTCAAGTGAAGATCTGGGTCCATAGTGCATAATTTTATTTTAATCTGTGAATTTGGGGATCCCTGGGTGGCTCAGAGGTTTAGTGCCTGCCTTTGGCCCAGGGAGTGATCCTGGAGAACTGGAATCAAGTCCCACATCGGGCTCCCTGCGTGGAGCCTGCTTCTCCCTCTGCCTGTGTCTCTGCCTTACTCTCTCTCTCTCTCTCATTAATAAATAAATAAAATATTAAAAAACATCCCCTCCCTTAGGAAATCTTCATAAACATCTAGTTACTGGAGACAGAAATGCTTCTTGATAGTACCAAATGCAGCTGTGTTGAAAGATTTCCCTGTCCCTAGGTATTTATGAAGATTTATGCTATATTCCAAAGCTGCACAGTGAAATTTTTGAACTTATATTTAGCACATTCACCTTAAGTAAAGTGGATATTTGAATATCCATTTCCACTGTTTTCACTTCCTTATTTTTTCAGTTTCTATGCTTACTACGGGCACTAGCTACAGAAAAAATGACAAATTTGTTCCCATATCAAAATCATTTTATGCTAAATTGTAATCAGCTATCCATTAAAATAGTCTTATTATTGAAAAGAAAATCTCTCGGGTCTTTTTTTTTAAGGTTTTGTTGATTTATTCAGAGACATAGAGAGAGAGAGAGAGGCAGAGACACAGGCAGAGGCAGAAGCAGGCTCCATGCAGGGAGCCTGACGTGGGACTCGATCCCCGGACTCCAGATCACGCCCTGGGCCGAAGGCAGACACTCCACTGCTGAGCCCCCCAGGCGTCCCTCTCGTTTTTGCTAGTAGAATTTTGCTTTGTTTTTTAAAGCTTTAAGGTAGCTGGCTACCTAATACAGTATAACATTTGAGATGAATTATTTCAACCTTTATTAATATCATCCCAGTATAGTGCTAGCAAAAATTGAGACTTTTAACCATTTGCTTCCTCATAATGAATTATAAAAAATAGAGTTATCTCTTTATTCAGTCTTGATAAGTTTAAAAGAATACAGACACTAGGAATATATTTCAGAAAGAAAATCAGCATGTGAGCTTTAGAATCTGTTATGTTGTAGACTTTTATAGAATGTTTTAAAAGTTACCTGCGTTGTTGAAAATTAGTGTTATTCAACTAATCTGGCATATTTGTAGCACTGCTAATGAGTTTGGCATCTTAATTCACAAAATGCTATTTTGTTTTGCTAGGAAAAGTATACGTCTATAATGGCTTATTTTACTACAAGCATTGGATGAACACATAAGTATAATTGATTGAGAAAAATGTTCTTAGGATGAAGTTTTCAGAGTGTTTAAGTGATAAGAAAAATGCTGGGTAGAAACTTTTTTTTTTCATTTTTGAGTAACTTTTTCAGGAGAATGATTTATCACTGGTATTTTTAAAATTTTTTTAATATGATACTTAATTTATTAGCACATACTAATTGATACAGCTTTTTTTACTGCCTTGGGATGAGACTTAATTGCATTGTCCAATACATAATATTGGAAATAAAACCCTCAATTCTATCATGCATTAGAATCTTGTGACATGCCGGTACCCGAGAATGCCAGAATCAAAAGTAATGCCACATGGTTTGGACTCAATGACAATGTGGACTATGAGTGCTATGATGGATTTGAAGGCAGACATGGGCACACAGGTTCCATAGTGTGTGGTGATGACGGTTGGTCTCATAAACCAGCATGTTATGGTAAGTGCTGTTTTTTAAGGGAATTATTTTTTTCAGGATTAACAAAATATGTTTAAAATATTCCATTTTGAACAAATTTGCATTATTTAAAGTCATTTTTAAGAAGTAAGGACTAAAATCAGGGTGTCTCCTTCTGATTTAATGTAAACTGGGAGAAGAGGGTATTTTAAAGCCCAAAGACAATGATCTTTAACACAGTACATTAATATTTCCTGTGAGCCATATACATGATAGATTTGTAAATAAAGGCTATTGTGTTTGTTACTATAAATGCAGGCTTTCATATTATTTAAAATGGGGTTCTTTTAGTATGTAATGTAAGAAAACCAAAATTATAGTTTATTACATTTGCCTCAACTAATTGTTCCTGAGTTTCTGCTTTTACACATCCTACCTTGAGTGTTAGTTTCTTCAGGTCCGAAAGCTCTTTCTTTCCTGACTTTGACAAGTTTTATGGACTATTACAAGAATTTCTTTCATGTTTCCTAATCCACTATTTTCTAGGACTAGGAGTAGGACTTGAATCTGTGCAAAACTTGAGTGGATTTAGAGTGTTCCAAGCCAAGGAAACAGTATGTGCAAAACTTTAACAGCAAAACAGTATTTGGGAAATATCAGGGTGAGCAGATTCTACTTAAGATGTGGGAGAATTTTATGAACTGAGGCTGAGTAGGAGGTAAAGAAAGGTTTAGCCAGGTTATTTTCAAGGCATGTCAGCATTTAGATTAATTTTATGATTGATAAAAAGCCATGAAAGAGTCTTACAGAGAGAAAGAATATAATTTTATTTAGATTTTTTGAAAAGTTTTTTTTCCATATGTTGTGCAATGAGAAGATTGCACAATGTGGCAAGAGAAGATTCAGAAGCTTATGCCAGGTGAATAAGTGTAGGGATTGGGAAAAGGTGATGGCTGATGACATGGAAAGCAGAACACATTAGAGATCTATTTTGTTGGTAGAAAACACAAGTGATGTTTACTAAACATTGGATACAGGAGATAGTTATGATCAAGGGATTCACATGCTTGTTTTACTTTTTTTTTTTTTTTTCATAAGCAAACAAGTAAATGGCAATGCCTTTTTGTAAGGTGGTGCTAGTAGAAGAAAGAGCACTCTGGGAGGAACATCACAACTTCTGACTTGAGCACATTATGCTTGGGCTACCCATGGACAGTCAAATTGGCTATGTAAATGAATATATGGGTCAAGCTCAGAGATCTGTATTTGGAATTATCACCCAATAAATGATGATAGCCAATTGGACATGAATGCAAAATAAAAAGAGAAGAGAGCTCAGGATTGAGCCCTGAAGCATTTCAACATTTATGAGTCAGGCAGAAGAGGAATAGGTGGCAAAGTAGATAGGAAAAAGGATGACCCAGAACACTCGGAGAAGAAAACATTTTAGAATGATTGTTCTCAGAGATGTGGAGAGAAAAAAAATGATTAAAGGATTAAAAAGTATACACAAATCCTGTGGAGTCGGCCTGGTCAGATTCTAATTCCAATTCCATCACTTACTAAGCATGCATCTTAGAGCAACAACCATATTTATTTGAAGCTTCGTTCACTCTTCCTCATCTGCAAAATGTTTTAATAATTACAAATGCTTTAATATTTCAAAGGATTGTTTTTCTTTTTTAGTATGATTCTAATATTGAAATCCCAGTTTTTAATTTTATGCATTAATTAGCAAGATAAGAGGGTTCTAAATAAGAAAAATGCTTTTTATAATATTTAAGAATGTCACAAATGTCACAAAGTTGACAAATTTGAAAGAATAATTTTACATACTTTTAATTTGAATCAGAATAATCAATAATTCATTAATAGACGCTAAAATTATAGGTTTAATAAAGACGGTTGTATATTATACAAATATTCAGGACACCTAGAATATACCTAGTTATATGGCCTTGAACATGCTTCTTTATTTTGTTCCATGTTTCAGTTTATGGTTCACTTTGATATCTTTACTAATATAATTAATATAATATAAAGTAAGCAATTTTTATAGTTTCCCTAAAACACATCAGAAATGCCTTGTGTGCATTCTAGTTCTCCAATTATATTTGCATTAAAAAAAAGCACTAATTCTTACTTGAGTGAATTTTAAAATTGTAGCAGCGGTTTTTATTTAATGTGAGAATACTTTCATGATTTGAGAGTACAAAACAATATCACATTATATTTTATAAATAAATATCAGTTATAAAATCAGATCTAATGTTAACTTGTTTATATTACAAATTAAAAAGTATTCAAGATATATATATATATATTGCTATTCAATACCTTAATATTTCTGAGTTCCTTACGAATTTAGAAGGCCTAATATGTAATATTTTTCAGGGAGGAGGATTTATCTGATTCCCTTCTGTATATGTAGTACCCAGCACCTCATTCTTACAAGACACACATAAAATTTGCTTTGGTAATGATTAATTACATATTCTTACTAAATTATTTGACCATTTTTTATAGAAATAGAGTGCAAGATTCCTAAAATAGATGCACAATTACTTCCTGATCCCAAAAAGGACAAATATAAAGTTGGAGATGTGTTAAAATTCTCCTGCAGACAAAGATTTATAAGAGTTGGACCAGAATCAATTCAGTGTTACTACTTTGGATGGTCCCCTGCTTTTCCAACATGTAAAGGTGAATATCTACCTTATAATTTTTAAAACAAGAATTAGGATTTGCATATCAACCTTTTTTTCTTTCACTCTTAATTTTCTGTTGTCTTTGAGACACAAGCAGAGGGAGAAACAGGCTCCATGCAGGCTCCATGCCTGGGTCTCTGTCTCTGTCTCTCTCTCTCTCTCTCTCTCTCTTTCTCTCTCTCTCTGCCTCTCATGAATAAATAAATAAAATCTTAAAAAAAATAAGATGGCTATGACAAATTATATTGTGAATTACACAAATTAATTTTTAAAGCTCTCTATTTTACTGGATTTATAAGTTGTAAAATAGATAACCACTATTTACACAATATTTCTCCTGTAGAGCAAACAAAACACTGTGCTGCACCTCCTCATATTCTCAATGGAGAAGTTAAGGAAACACAGAAGGAAATCTATGAACACAATGATTTGGTGGAATATGTTTGTGATACTAGATTTCTGATGAAGGGTTTTAATAAAATTCAATGTATTGATGGAGAGTGGACAGACTTGCCTATGTGTATTGGTAATGTATAAAAATACTAATATTTAAACAAAAATCAACACTCTTTGTATTCATATAAACACCTAAATTACAACTTATAAATAAATACATATTGGTGAAATTTTCACAGAGGTGGAGAGTACTTGTGGAGATATACCTGAACTTGATAACGGCTCTGTTGTTGAGTCTTCTGACCCTCCCTATCACCATGGAGATTCAGTAGAGTTCAGTTGCAAAGAAGAATTTACAATGGTTGGACCCAAGTCTATTACCTGTATTAGTGGAATGTGGACCGAACTTCCTCAGTGCATTGGTGAGAACACACTTAATGAAATTTAATATTTTTATAGTAAAAGCTATATTCGCAAATATCTTTTTAAAATTTATGTTTATTTTTGAAAGTGTCAGGTCTTAAATTACGATGAAGGCAGACATTGTTTATAGTTTCTTATGTGTCTACAAGTTATCGATGAAATTTTGTCAGTCTTCCTATCCCCGATATTAACATTGTTTATGAGCGTAAAACTAAATTTTACTTACCATTATTCATGTGATTTAAATCTCAGTACTAATTTCCAAGAAAATAGAACTCTCTCTGCATAAATACCATTTTTGTTTTTATGTGTGGCACTCTTGTGTTCAGGCCTTGGAAAACAAAATTAAGAAAATATCCACTTACTACATTCCTATAGGAATCTTGCCCCCCTCAAGGTTTCTAACAATTTCCCAATCTGTTTCAAATGCAAAAGTGAATGTGCTGAAGGGTAGGTGGGTTGCAGGCTTCTCAGTCAGGTGTATAATTCAGTCGAAGGAGGCAGTCAGGGTCAGGCTGAGAAACAAATCTGATGGATGGACTTCACTCTGGTTGATTATGTGAAGCATCCCGACCTCTGGATGACCAAATTTTTTATGACTAACTGGAAGAATATTGGGTGCCCTTTTCATTCTTCCTAGAGTTTTCCTAGTTTCTACGTTCAAAAAGAACCCTGCATGTGCAGTCTTACTTATTCATCAGATTTCTAGGCATCAATTGTTCCAAGGAGAAGGTAGGGCTTGGGCACATGCTCCATAAGAGCAGAGATTGATACCTGTTTTGCTCATGATGTGTTCCCAGTACCCGAGACATATAGCAGACATTAAATAGGAGTTTGTTGAATGAATCATAAATTTCATTGCTTATTAATCCTTACATTTTTGCTAAACACATTCCCATTAGAACATTGTCAGTCCTTCAAGACTAATCTTCATTTTTGTCATCTTCTATCTCCCCAAATGATCTCACCTTATTTCATACGGGGGGAAACCCAATGTTATAACAGGTAATAAGAACTCTCAGCTTTTCATTCTTCTTCTAAAACATTTGCGTAGGGACGCCTGGGTGGCTCAGTGGTTGAGCATTTGCCTTTGGCTCAGGGTGTGATCCCAGAGTCCTGGATCGAGTCCCACATTGGGCTCTCTGCATGGAGCCTGCTTCTCCTCCCTCTTCCTATGTCTCTTCCTCTCTCTGTGTGTCTCTCATGAATAAATACAATCTTTAAAAAGAATTGCTTCAATTATTACTCTTTTCTGATCTTCGAATTTACCTTCCAAAGGTTAGTCTCCTACCTATACTCAGCTTAACACAATCCCCTTATGGCTATCATAGACCTTACCCAATTTTGTCCTCTCAATATTTATTTTGTACCTACAGCTAGTCCAGTTTTTCACTCTTCTCAAAATGCTTATTTTCTCCTAATAAACAAAGAAATTCTTTCAGAAACCAATCAATCATGAAACAATGACAACAACTACTACCACTCCTTTTGACTATAGATCATCCTCCAATTACCATCACCTGAACACTTTTTCTTTTGCTTCCCTCAACACTGGACAAGCCCTAAAAACAGGACTAATTCTCAGCCTTTAGCATGTTTTGAATTAGCCTCCTTTGTTTTCTTTTTTATTGTTTTATAAAATCATTACTTCTTGGCTAGTCATTAACTATATCAACTCATATTTTATCAAATCCAAAAAGTGCTCCAATCTGCATTGAATTTTTGAAATATGTAGATATATAAAAATATGTTATATTTAACTCAGAGCCAGCAAAAATTTACTAATATAGCATTATAATATTATTGAATGATAGGTTGATCTGGTGTATAAAGTAGCTCTTCAGAAATTATAAGGATATACACAGGAAACAGGTTGTGACTTTAAGTACCCAATTTCTTATTTGTCCCTAATTTTTAGTGATTATGCAAAAGATCTGCTGAAGTATTCACATTCTGTATAATACATCTTAGATGTACTTTTCTTACTATATTATAATACCTTTATTGGAAAAAAAACATTTAAACTAGCAACTTCATATATTCTATTTCCACAGATAAATATGAGACTAAATTAAGTCAGGTGATGACTGTTCAGTATGTAGATCATCTCAAAAAGTGAGCCTCTTAGCACTTTTCTAACTCCCAAAGTGCAGAATGTACTTATGAAGGACTTTTCTCTGAAATTTCAGAGACTGGACACAAGACTTGTGTTCACACATAAGAGCCCATCTCATGCAATAGGATCAGAAATAAATTGGTGAGGTTTATGGGCACAAATTCTAATTTTATTATACTATTGACTCTAAGCTATATTTATAGTAGTTTCTTTGATTCTTATAATTAGTATTTTCAAGAGAATATTTTCATTTTATAGCAACAGATGAACTTAAGAAGTGTACATACGAACTGACTAAATATGAGGCAAATCCATTAGATAACACTATATTTAATCATAATGACAACATAAGTTATAAATGCAGAAGAACATTAAAGCAGAAGAACTCAACGTGCATAAATGGACAATGGAATCCTGAACTAACCTGCACAGGTAAGCTCTTATTTATAATATTTTCAAAAACATATTCTATTTCTTCCTAACTTGTAAAAGTAGTATCTTTGCATCTTTTTAAAAAAATTTAAAAAAAAATTTTACCTATTTATTACTACACATAATTTTCAAGCTGGAAGGTAATTTAGAAACTAACCAAAACATAGTTTCTTTTTTTTTTCTTAAGATTTTATTTATTCATTCATGAGAGACACACAGAGAGAGGGAGAGACACAAGGCAGTGGGAGAAGCAGGCTCCATGCAGGGAGCCCGACATGGGACTCGATCCCGGGTCTCCAGGATCACACCCTGGTCCGAAGGCAGCGCTAAACTGCTGAGCCACCTGGGCTGCTCCAAAACATAATTTCTAACTATTAATTGCATCCATGTATTAGTCAGCTATGAAACACACCACCCAGAAACTTGGTGGCATTGAATTAACATCTGGTTAGGTATCTTTAAGAATATCAGAAAGGGAGACAGAACATGAAGACTCCTAACTCTGGGAAACGAACTAGGGGTGGCGGAAGGGGAGGAGGGCGGGGGGTGGGGATGAATGGGTCACGGGCACTGAGGGGGGCACTTGACAGGATGAGCACTGGGTGTTATTCTGTATGTTGGCAAATTGAACACCAATAAGAAATAAATTTATTATAAAAAAAATAATGAAGTTAAATGTGATGCCTCTAAAAAAAAAAAAAAAAAAAGAATTAGCATTTTAGGGGATGCCCAAATAGGGTGATGGGGGATGAAGTCCCACATCAGGCTCCCTGCAGGGAACCTGCTTCTCTCTCTGCCTGTGTCTCTGCCTCTCTTTCTGTCTTTCATTAATAAATAAAATCTTAAAAAAAAAAAAAAAAGAATTAGTGTTTTGGTTTTCTCTGAGGCTGAAGAGAGCACAAAGATGACATCCCCCTGGTCCATGTTCCCTGAAAGCACCTCTGTAGCCTCCAGATGTGTGGCAAATCTGAAGTCTGCCCCTCAAGCTAAAGTTTTAGGACAAGTAAATAGTCCTGTTTCCGAGAAAGACTGGGAGTGTGTTTCAGTCAGCTGCCTGGGCACCCCAGGGCAGTACTTATTGTTTGTTGTGAAGGAGCCATTCAGCTCCCTTCGGGTCTTTTTCAGAGGAAATTGTTCTCTATATAGCTGTAGATTTGAGGTGTCTTGTGAGTGTAGATGGGGTCAGGATTTTCCTTTGCCTTTGTCCTCACATTCGATTTGTACGTATTGATTTTATACTCTGACACTATACTAAGTTGCCTTATTCATTTTAGGTATTGTTTTGTAGATCTGTTGCAATTTTCTGTAAGCAATTAATATCACTAAAAACGCAAGATTTTATTTTTGCCAGTCCATTTTAATTTTTTTAATTTTTTTTTATCACTACTAGGACCTCTGGTAAACTGTTGAAAGAAAATGATGAGAACATACTTCTTTGTCTTATTCCTGATCACTGGGAGGAGGGTATTCAACATTATATAAGTATAATGTCACAAGTATAATGTCAATTTAGGATTTTTGTAGATGCCCTTTTGTAGCATAAGGAGATTTCCTTCTATTTTTACTTAACTGAGTGAGAAATGTTATGATCAACCAATGTTGAATGTTTTTAGATGGTTTTTGTTTATCTCTTGGTATGATAATATGACTTTCTTAACTCCATTCATACAGTGAATTATATATATATACATTTTTGAATGTTGAACAAATCTCTCCTTCCTGAAGTTAACCCTACGAGATGGTGACCTGTTATTCTTCCTATATTTTCTTTTTTTTTTCTTCCTATATTTTCATGTACTCGATTTGCTGATCTATTTTTAGGGAGTTTTGCATCTATATTCGTGGGGAATATTGATCTGTAGTTAATTTTTCTTTTAATGCCTCTCCCAGGTTTTAAGATTATCATGGCCTCATAAAATGAATTGAGGACTGCTCTCTATTTCTCTGTTTTCTGAAAGTATATGTGTAATATTATTATTACACACATTACACAATATTATATATTACACATATCATTTTATTATTTTTACCGTAAATGATTGATAGACTTTACTCACAAAGTCACCTGACACATATTTTGCTTTTTTGGAAATTTTTCTATTTTTTAAATATTTCATTTATTTATTCATGAAAGACAGAGAGAGAGAGAGGCAGAGACACAAGCAGAGGGAGAAGCAGGCTCCCTGCAGGAAGCCTGATGTGGGACTTGGTCCTGCGACTCCGGAATCACACCCTGGGCCAAAGGCAGATGCTCAACTGCTGAGCCACCCAGGCATCCCTGAAAATTTTTCTTGGTGAAGAATTCAATTTCTTTAATAAGTAGTGAAATATTCAGATTTTCTTATTGTCTTTTGTCAATGCAGGGAAGTTGTATTTTTCAAGAAACAGCTCTATTTTGTCTAATTTATGAAATTGATTGGTATATATAATTGTTTCTAACAGTTAATATTCTATTTTCCTTTTAATTATATAGTTTCTTTGTTGGTATTACTTCTTTCATTCTTGACATTGATACTTATTTCTCCTTTCATCTTAATTATTCTTGCTGTATTTTTTCTTCCGTTTTATTAATATTTCCAAATAACCAATTTTAATGCTTAATTTTCTCCATTTACTCTCTTCTAATTTTTATAGCCTTATTAACATTCATTATTTTTTCTGTTTCTTTTTTTCTGTTTGTCTTTCTCAATTTTCTCTTTTCTGGTGACTTAACAAGTTTGTGCACTCTAATTACATTGATTTTAATTTTATTTTTTCATTTCTTAACCTAGGAAATTAAAACATTGATTTAAACCATCCTACTTTTTTTTTTTAAGATTTTATTTGTTTATTCATGAAAGACACATAGAGAGAGACAGAGACATAGGCAGAGGGAAAAGCAGGCTCCATGTGGGGAGCCCTATGTGGGACTTGATCCCAGGACACCAGGATCATGCCCTGAGCCAAAGGCAGACGTTTAACCACTAAGCCACTCAGCCGTCAGGCCATCCTACTTTTTAAAGATAAATTCCATTTTTCCTTCTAAGTATCACTGTATAGCAGCCTCAAAATTTGTATATACATCTCATTTTCATTTAATTCCATGTGGAATGTTTTCTAATATTCCTTGCGATTTCTTCTTTGATGGGTCAGTTATTTAGATTTTGTTGCTTAATTTCCAAATATTTTTTCCTAAATAAATTTATTCTTTTACAGCTTTTGTTGTTGTTGTTGTTGGTATGATTGCTATAAAAAAGAGCTGCAAAAAAATACCAAATCATTTTTAAAATATAAAAATAAAATACAGGGACATCTGGGTGGCTCAGCTGTTGGGCGCCTGCCTTTGGCTCAGGTCATGATCCCGGATAAGGGATCAAGTCCTGCATCCGGCTCCCTGGGAGGAGCCTGCTTCTCCCTCTGCCTGTGTCTCTGCCTCTCTCTCTTAGTCTGTGTCTCTCATGAATAAATTAATAAATCTTAAAAAAATAATAATAAAATACAAATAAACTTTTTATAAAAGCATAAACAGACGATTTCCAGAATAGTAATTCTATCTTTAGGGAAATTTAATTGCTAGACCAACATCTGGCAAAATGTATCAGAGGAAGGACAAATTAACATTATTAGGACAAAAACGATTAAATATCAGATATAGAAGAAACTAAATCATTGAAAAAAATACGCCAAAATATTTAAAACAGAAATAAGAAAAAAGTTTTGGTTAAATATAAAATACTTCTACGCTTAGAAAATATGAGACAAATCGAAAATATTAGTAAGCATGAATGCAGTCAAATATTTCTCTGAATTGAGTACAAAATCTTGGGTAACTGAAAGGACTTACAAGACTTCCCAGTGTACAACTCACATAAGACCTTTAATGAAATAAACACATGGCAGGAGAAAGCAAAATCAAGGACTCATAGAGAAGTCCCAAAGCCTCCAGGTATAGCCAGCTATCCAGAGTCTTCCCTCATTGAAAAAGTCATGCTCTGTTTTCAGATTATGACCTGCCACAACGCTGTACAGTATCTCAGCTCCCTGGGAGGTCAAACATGAGTTTACAGAGAAATTTTATATACCTTGCTGGTCACGCAACTGAAGCTGGGCTGTCTAATCCGTCACACAGGGTGTATTTCATTACCCTCTATACCTCTTAATAGTGTTGGCAAGCTAGTAAACAGTACCTCCAGGGAATTTTGAACTTTAAACAACACACTATAAATCATTAGTGACCATATCTAATTCTTATCTTCGCGAAGAATCTGTATCAAATAATTTGATCATTAACTACAGGCAGTTCTTCCTCCGGCTAATTAGCTTCCATTCCACATCTTGTAAGGATTTTAATCCAATCACAATATATTTGATTAAGGATATCTGCTAAAAAGATTCTGATACCTGTATTTATTTAGTGCCTTTTACTGAGTGGACAATTCAGTTAGAACGTCCTAATGTTTAGAAATAATTAAAATAGGTTTTACCTAAATTTTGCAAGTTTTATCACAGAAAGAATAAAAGAAAGATACTACAAGTAATATGGTGAGAATATAAGCCACGTGATATATTAAAGTGCTCTAAAAGCTGAAGAGTATAACACATTTAAACATAGAACATAATGTTATTATTTGGTCATTAATAATACATTATTATTGAATTTTCTGTTTAATTATCTTTTAAGTATTTTTTACTTTTGATGTTTAATCAAGAAATCTAATTTTAATATTTTTAGAAGTTGAAAAGCAGTCATGCCCCCCTCCACCTCAGATTCCCAATGCTCAGAATGTGGCAACAACAGTGAATTTTAAGGATGGAGAAAAAGTATCTGTTGTCTGTCAAGACAATTACATAATTCAGGATGCAGAAGAAATTGTGTGTAAAGATGGAAGATGGCAGTCAGTACCACGCTGTGTTGGTCAGTAGTGCATAACTTGCTTTATAATATTCTTTCAAAGGAGATTAATTCTTCCTTGGGCTTTGTGTAAATGAACAAGATGAAGATCTCTGTATCTATTTCACTTAAACCTGAACAGTAAATCACAAACTAAGTATATAAATCAATCAGCATTCTTTCACTTCTATTGTGAAATGAACAGGCAAAAACTTTGGGTTACTGTGTAAACAACTATAGAAAATTTGTTTATATCTGTTTTACTTCTCGTGATGAACAGGACAAGAATGAAGGTGCATAGTGAACAAATGGAGAATAGCGTAGATTGTATGGAGATATATATTGCTTGAAAGTTTCAAATGTTTTTCAGTTTTTGTAATTTAATTCGTTTAAATTGTCCTTATTTTTAAATTTCAAATGACAAATTTCATTGCATTTTTCAGTTTAAACATTATATCCGTGCTTGACTCTTTGATCTTTGGTTTTTATACAGAAAAAATCCCATGTCCTCAACCATCTCCTATAGAACATGGAACCATTAAATCATCTATATTTTCAGAAGAAATAGAAGAAACATCAAAACCTAAGTCTTACCCACATGGCAGCAAATTGAACTACACTTGTGAGGATGGTTTCAGGGTATCTGAAAAGGATGAGATAACTTGCCAGATGGGAAAATGGAGTTCTTTACCTCGGTGTGTAGGTGAGGACAGTATGCAAACTAAAATTCTATCCTCAATTTTCAACACAATCCATTAAACAGAACTGTCATCAAACCTAGGAGAAAGAATCCTTTAGGTTTCTAAATATATAAAATCATTTATATATTTATGTACTTTACCAAACAATGTTTGCATAATCAAGCCTATCCCATTTTTGTTAATTTGATTAATTTGTTATAGAATCACTTTGAATTCTGGCAATTGTTTAATTAAAACTAGATGTGTAGTGCAACTAAACCTATTCATATACGTATATACCTATCCATATCCCTACCTATTTATATAAGTTGTACTGTTACTTTGCCATCAGTTTAAAACATTTTTTTTTGTTTTTCCTATAATGTGCTTCCTGATTTTTACAATACATGGTACTTATCTTAAGATGATTAATTCTAAATGCTCTTCTTTTTATTATTCACTATATTGGTTTGAGAAGCACTGATAGTTTCTTTCATAAATATATTGACATTTTTATTTTTATTCTTTTAATTCAAAAAAATTTTTAAGTTTACATTTAAATTCCAGCTATTTAACACAGTGTAATATTAGTTTCAGGTGTACAATCTAGTGATTCAGCAATTCCATACAACAGCTGGTGCTCGTCACAAGTGCCCTTCTTAATCCTCTTCACCTATTTCACTCATCCCCCCACTAAGTCCCCTCTGGTAACCAACAGTTTGTTCTCTATAGTTGAGACTGTTTCTTGGTTTGCCTCCCTCTTTTTTTTTTTCTCCTTTGCTCATTTGTTTTGTTTCTTAAACTTCACATATGAGTGAAATCATGTGGTATTTGTCTTTCTCTGATTTATTTCACTTAACATTATACTCTCCAGCTCCATCCATGTCATTGCAGTTGGCATGATTTCATTCTTTTTATGGCTGAGTAATATTCCATTTGTGTGTGTGTGTGTGTGTTTGTGTGTGTGTGTGTGTGGGTATGCTATCCTTTCTTTATCCATCCACATATCAATGGACACTTGAGCTCCATTCATATCTTGGCTATTGTAAATAATGCTACTATAAACATCAGGGTACACGTATTCCTTTGAATTAGTATTTTTGTATGCCCTGAGTAAATACCTAGAAGTGCAATTGCTGGATCATAGGGTAGTTCTATTTTTAACTTTTTGAGGAACCTCCATACTGTTTTCCAGAGTGACTGCACCAGCTTGCATTCCCACCAGCAGTGCAAAAAGGTTTCCCTCTCTCTGTATCCTCACCAGTACCTGTTGTTTCTCACAGTTTGTTTTGGTTTGATTTGGTTTGAATTTTTGTTTTTTTGTTTTGTTTTGTTTTGTTTGCCATTCTGACAGGTATAAGGTGGTATCTCATTGTGGTTTTGCTTAGTATTTCCCTAATGATGAGTGATGTTGAGCATCTTTCATGTATCTGTTGGCCATCTGTATATCTTCTTTGGAAAATTGTCTATTCATGTCTTCTTCCATTTTTAATTGGATTATTCATTTTTCAGGTGTTGAGTTTTATAAGTTCTTTCTATATTTTGGATACTGACCCTTTATCAGATATGCCATTTGCAAATAGCTTCTCCTATTCTGTAGGTTGCCTTTTCATTTTGTTTATTGTTTCCTTCACTGTGCAGAAGCTTTTTATTTTGATACAGTCCCAATAGTTTATTTTTGCTTTTGTTTTCCTTGCCTTAGGAGACATATCTAGAAAGAATATGATAGAAAGATATGATGACAGCTGATAATATATGAATATTTTTGGTTTCAAGTTCTTGCTCAGGTTTCCAGCTGGACACACATCAGAGTGGTAGCTTTAGGAACCATTTGTGCACCTTCTCTGTGTTATGATTGTAACTCTTGTGTTATCATTTCTTTTCAAATAATACTGCCAAATACGGCAACCAGTACATAAAATTAAATTTCAAAATTAATGAAACATGGAATTATTCTTTCTTTTTTTTTCAGGGCTTCCGTGTGCACCACCAGCATATATGGTTACACATGGTATTCTAATTCAAAAATCAGACAGTTACCAATATGGAGAAGAAGTGATATATAAATGTGATGATGGTTTTGCAATTGATGGACCTGCATCTGTAAAATGTTTAGGAGGAAAATGGTCTAATCCACCAAAATGCATAAGTATAGTGTATTTAATTTTACTCTAAGGTTGATAACTATTTTTTTTAAAGATTTTATTTATCTATTCATGAGAGACAGAGAGAGAGAGAGAGAGAGAGAGGCAGAGACACAGGCAGAGGGAGAAGCAGGCTCTCTGTAGGAGCCCAATGTGGGCCTCAATCCCGGGACCCTGGGATCATGAGCTGAGTCAAAGGCAGATGCTCAACCACTGAGCCACCCAGGCACCCCAATTCTTAATTCAGACATCAGTGGTACAAATATGAAACTAGGCAGTAATTCTAGAATTTAACAAGGTATCTCTGGGAAGTTGTAGATTTCTTCATCTCTGTTCTTTTTTTTTTTTAAAGATTTTATTTATTTATTTATTCATGAGAGACAGACAAAGAGAGACAGAGACAGAGACTAGCAGAGACACAGGCAGAGGGAGAAGTAGGCTCCATGTAGGGAACCTGATGTGGGACTCAATCCCAGACTCCAGGATCACGCCCTGAGCCAATGGCAGGTGCTCAACTGCTGAGCCACCCAGGGATCTCCCTCATCTCTGTTCTCGTATCACAGCTGCTCCTTGCTAATCAATCATTATTCAATTTATTGTTAGTTTATCAGTTATCCCCTTATAAATATATAGTTTTCTAAGATATTTGACATAATTAAAAGTAACAGATTTTGACAGAAGCAGAAAATACAAATACATACATAATGTAGGTGGCTTGTATGGGCAAAAAAAGAATTTGAGTGGAAGAAATATGATATCAAGACTTACATGTATCCATAGCTTTATAGGGTTTCCATATCATCACCCCCATGTTTTACTTTTTTTTCCCCATGTTTTACTTTTGATAAGCATAGGACTATTCAATGTAATTCACTCAAAAGACTTCTAAGACATTTTTTTTCAACTATTAAGAAAAGTTGTGTACAATGCTCATTGGTTTGATGTGTACTTATCATCCTACATTATAGTTATTGGTCATTATGTATTTTAAAAGATTCACTGAACAAGTACGTGTTCTTTTTCTTTCAGAAACAGACTGTTTTAACTTACCCAGCTTTGGTAATGCCATACCCATAGGCCCGAAGAAAGTATTATATAGGTCAGAAGAAAAAGTGACTTATAGATGTCCAACATATTACCGTTTGGATGGACCCAATTTTGTACAGTGTCTTAATGGCCAATGGATAGGAAGTCCAGTATGCAAAGGTATTTTAATATTTTAGAATATATTTATCAAAATGTCTTAAGTAATATAATATAGAATTCCCACTAACACCATTTAAAAAAACAGACATAGATTATTTTTTTAGGCCAGGTCAAAGAAGGTTTATGCTTTAACATAAAGGGATAAAATTGTGTACTTAGTTCATTTTTTTTTTTTTTTTTTTTTTTTTTTTTTTTGCCTAGTGGTTCATCTTTAAGCCCAATGGTTCTCAAATTGAGATCTCTGGAATAGCAGCATTAGTGCCTTCTGGGAAATTGTTAGAAATGCAAATGTAAATTTACAGGCTCACTCGGACCTGTTGAGTCAAAAACTCTGGGGATGCAACCCTGAAAAGGTCTTAACAATTTCCAAGAGATTTGATATGTACTCCAGTTTAGGAACCATAGCTATAGCCTGTTATACTTAATATCCTCCTGAACCTCACTGGTGAGTTATAAATTACTCATTGAAATGTCCTTAAGCATTTGCAAAAAAAAAAAAAAAAAATCATTAAAGAGTGTTTTTATAAACTGTACATTTATATTTCTGTTATTTTTCCACATCATTTGTTTGGATCCTCAGTTAATCATCCTCTTCCAACTATGGCATTCTTCAAAGTGTGTTAATTCTTCATTTGTTATCTAAGGAAGTGCCTACTATGTTTATTTTTCTAAGGGCCTAAAATTATATTCATAAACACGATGATTACAAGCCAAAATCTGATATCAAATAATCTTTTTATTAGGATTTTCATCTTTTTAAAGATTTTATTTACTTATTTATTTATGAGAGACACAGAAAGAAAGAAGCAGAGACATAGGTAGAGGGAGAAGCAGGTTCCACGTAGGGAGCCTGATGTGAGACTCAGTCCTGGAACTCCAGGATCACTCCCTGAGCCAAAGGCAGATCCTCAACCTCTGAGTTACCCAGGTGTCCCATGATTTTCATTCTGAATTTATATAATTTATAATATTGATTTTACTAAAAATGGGAAATGTCCAGAAAAACTCTCCTTTTCATAGAAGCTTAAATCTTATCAGAGGATATTGTTTTATCTTTTCTTCAATCTTATATGTAAACTTCTTAAAATTGGCACTCTTTCATAATAGATTAACTGTTGATCTTAAATTCCCCTTGAGATATATTTGGAACCCCATTTGTTGATTTGCTACTCAAAATGATCATTAAATTAGAGATGCTTCTTTTTTTTCTTCCCATTAAGATATGTCCTGTGAGAGTCCACCCAAAGTGAAAAATGCTAATGTACTAAACGAGAGGACTAGGTATCTACCTGGTTGGAGTGTTCATTATGAATGCATCAAACCTTTTGACCTGTTTGGAGAAGCAGAAGTGACATGTTTAAATGGGACCTGGACAAAACCACCTCAATGTGGAGGTAAAGTATCTTATTTCTCCTTAAATTTTAAAGAATATATTAAGAACTAATAATGGCATCATTTTTTTTATCTCAAATAAAACGATTGTGCTTAAAATCCAATCTTTTCTTTTTGTGGACTACATAAGTGATATTATATATTTATTTTACGAAAGATTTAGCCAGATTAGGGAAGTTGGAATCATGGAAAATTCTCTCTCTCTCTTTATTTTTTGAAGAGAGAGTGAGTGTGAGTATGAGCAGTGGGGGTAGGGGGGTAGAGAAAGGGAGAGAGAATTTTAGCAGATTCCATGCTAAGGGCAGAACCTGACGTGGGACTCAATCCCATGACCCTGAGGTCATGACCTGAGCCAAAATCCAGAGTTTGTCGCTCAACCACCTGAGCCACCTAGGCAACCAGAAAATTCTCTATCTTAAGCATTAAGACACTCAATTATTTCAATGTATTAAAATGCTAAGAGGGGGGCCTGGGTTGAGCATCCAACTCTTGATTTTGCCTCAGGTCATGATCTTAGGGTTGTGGCATGGAGCCCCATGACAGGCTCCATGCTCAGTTAGGAATCTACTTGTCCCTCTTCCTCTGCTCCTCCCCCTCCTTCTCTAAAATAAATAAATAAATCTGTTTTTAAAAATGATACGTTGAGGGGATCCCTGGGTGGCGCAGCGGTTTAGCGCCTGCCTTTGGCCCAGGGCGCGATCCTGGAGACCCGGGATCGAATCCCACATCAGGCTCCCGGTGCATGGAGCCTGCTTCTCCCTCTGCCTGTGTCTCTGCCTCTCTCTCTCTCTCTGTGACTGTCATAAATAAATAAAATAAAAAAAAAATGATACGTTGAGGACATTTGACAGTCCTATGAAATTTCACTTTGAGACACACATTGAGTACCTGGGGCATGATCATAGAATGTTATGTAAATTTGGGCTTCTTCAGCTTGTGGATTATATAATGGTGGGTTACCAGCTGAGTTCAACAAGGAAACTCAACAAGGGAGTTAGTGTAGATAATAAAAAAAAGTCTGAGAACTTGGTCATAGCACACTCCAGTATTTAGAGTTTAAGAAATAAGAGGAGCCAACAAAGGAGATATTATAGCCACTTGTTTTTCAAATCAACTTTTGCTTGGCATATATAATTTTCCAACCTTTTACTTTGAGCCCACCTATATTTTCATGTTTGAAGTGAGTTTCTTTTAGTTGCCATAGGTTTGGCTCTTGTTTATGTGTCCACTTTGCCATTTTCAGCCTTTTAACTGAAGTATTTAAACCATTTACACTTAATGTAATTATTGATAGATTAGGGGTTGTGTCTGCCATTTTATTATTTGTCTTGAATTATTTCTCACTCCCATTTCTTTCTTTGCCATCCTTGTGGATTTTTGGAACATTTAAAAATAATTTTATTTTGACATGTTTATGTTGTTTCAGAGCATATCTCTTTGTAGCTTTATCTGTGGTTGCTCAAGGTATTAAGATGCACATATGTAGCTTGTTTCACCCCCTGGTTTTGACATTTTACCACTTAAAGTGAAATGAGGAAACCTTACTTCCACTTAGGTCCATTTACCCTCCCCACATTTTATTTTATTTTTCACATATTTATTTTTTGAGAGAAATAGAGAGTGAGAGGGGAGTGGTGGGGACGATGTGTGTGTGTGGGGGGGTGGATCTTAAGCAGCCTCCATGCCCAGCTTAGAGCCCAATAAGGGAGGCTCTATTGGAACAATACAGGGAGGGCTTGATGTCCCAACCCTGAGATCATGACCTGAGCTGAAGTCTAAAGTGGATGCTCATCTGACCGACTGAGCAACCCAGGTGCCCTTACCCTGTCCACAATTCGAACATAAATGTCTTAAGTATTTCTTCTACATATATTGAGCACCATATCAAATGATGTAATGTTGCGCAAACATCAAACCTAATGAACTCATTAGGAAAAAGAGAGTCTATTATATTTACCCTTATTTTTTTAGTCCTTTGCTTTTCTTCCTTCATGAAGTCTCTCAGTCCTTGTTCTGTTATCTTTTCCCTGCTTTTTGAAGAATTCCTTTCACAATTCTTTAAAGATCTGCTGGAGATAAATATCTTTTGTCTCAGAATATCCTCTTTTCTCCCTTAAGTCCTAAAGGATAGTATCACCGGATATAGCATTCAGGGGTAACAGTTCTTTTTTTCTAGTATTTGAAAAATCTTGTCACTTCTTTCTTTCTGGCTTGATGATTACAGGTGAGAGGCCCTCTGACACTTGAATCCGTTTTCCCTTATAAGTTTGCTTCATTTCTGTGTAGCTGCTTTTGAGATTTTTTTCATTTTCTTTGGTTTTCCTCAGTTTGATTACAATGTATCTCAGGATGAATTTCTTTGGGTTTGTCTTGTTTGGCTTTTTCAATATGAATGTTTATGCCTTGTGGCCAATTTAGGAAATTTTAGTCCGTTTTTTTTTTTTTTTTTTTGGAAGTTTTTTGTTGTGTTTGTTTTCAGTCTATTTTCAAAGTGAGTAATTTGTATTCTATATTATTCAAGTTGATTTATCCTTCCATCATCTGTAAACCATGATAGAGCCTGTCTAGCAAGGGTTTTTTTTTTTTTTTAATTCCATTACTACATTTTTTAGTCCTATAATTCCCACTGGATTTTTAGTCAAATAATTCCAATATCTGTTTCATATCAGTGTTGTGATCTGTTGATTATCTTTCTCTTGAGATTTTCCTGGTCCTCAGTACGATGAGTGATTTTTTATTGTGTTCTAGACATTTGGTGTGTTATGTTTTAGACTCTGGATTTTATTGAAATCTCTTATTTATCAGGCCTCCATTACTGCAGAGAGTGCAAGTCCAGGCTTTCCACTTGGCCTCCACTGACCCATGGAAAGTGGAGAGATGTCTTGTTCCCTGATTGTGGATAGAAGTCTAGGTGCCACACTTGGCCTCCATTGATCACTGTTGATCTCTGATCAACATGGGAAGAGGGTTGGTCAAGGTTTCTCTTCTATGATGATTTTTGGGAGTAATTCAAGTATTGTAAAAAATACATATATATTTCTGTCTTGCTATAATACTCCTTTCCTGAGCCTTTGGCTAAAGAGAGAAGGCAACTCTTGGGACTTGTCTTTTTTCTTTTTGGCCTGAACTTGATATCATTTCTGGGTTCCAGTCTTCTTCAGTGCCCAGGCCAGGCTCCATAGAAGGCAAAATGAAAACCCAAACAACTCACTGCTGTAGAAATCCTTGAATAGGGGCAGCCCGTGTGGCTTAGTGGTTTAGTGCTGCCTTCAGCCCAGGGCCTGATTCTGGAGACCCGGGATCAAGTCCCACGTCTGGCTTCCTGTATGGAGCCTGCTTGTGTCTCTGCCTTTCTCTCTCTCTCTCTCTCTCTCTCTCTCTCTCTCTCTCTCATGAATAAATGAATAAAGTCTTTAAGAAAAAAAAAAGAAATCCTTGAATAATCTCTTATGTTGGTTTTCATAATATGTTCAGGATTTTTAGTGATACTTAGTAGAAGGAATAAGCAGAAAGGTTTTTTTTAAAGATTTTATTTATTTATTCATGAGAGAGAGAGAGAGGAAAGAGAGAGAGAGAGGCAGAGACACAGGCAGAGGGAGAAGCAGGCTCCATGCAGGGAACCTGATGTGGGACTCGATCCCCGGTCTCCAGTATCACCCTGGGCTGAAGGTGATGCTAAAATGCTGAGCCACCTGGGCTGCCCTGATGATTCTTTTGTAATAAAAATGAAAATCAATAAAGAATGACTAGAGATCCAATAGACACTGCAGTATGTTGTATGTATTAAGAAAGTTTGTTTATATTAACTATCCATCTGTCCTTCATTTATTCAATAGGAAAAATATTTTTAATACCTTAATACTGTAAAGCAGACAGTTTGTTAATGCTTTATGTGGTGTGCTTTCCTGTAGGATAAAAGGAAACGCTTAAAATTTTGATTTTCAGTTTAAGTGATTAAAATGTCTTCAGTGAATCATTTCTGTCAGCAGAAGTCACAAGTCTTGATATTGCATATTGTGCTACATTTTTATTTGCTTTATTTTAGCCTGTTTTTCTTTAGTCTTTCAATAAATCAAATAAATATTTTGTTTAGAATCTAAAGGAAAATGTGGGCCTCCTCCATCTATTGACAATGGAGACATTACTTCATTCCCATTATCAGCATATGCTCCAGAATCATCAGTAGAATACAAATGCCAGGCCTTGTATGCACTTCAGGGAAACAGGATTGTAAGATGCAGAAATGGACAGTGGTCAAAACCACCAAAATGCTTAGGTAAATATTTTAATATTCTCATGGATCCTGGGAAAATCAGTATAATGAGTAAGATGTCTTACTGTCATTAATAGAATGTTCATTGATTAACAACCATTTGTTGAATACGTGACTACCAAATATTAATATGTAAAGAAATAAAGTTGGAAAAAAACTCCTATAGAAGCAACAAAAGATCCTTTACTGAAAGGACTCTGGATTTCTTCATATTATAATTGACATTATGAATCTTTTGAGTATAAAATTATCACACCTTAAGTGTGGTACATCATTTTACATCATTGATCATTTAAAATGATTTAAATTGGTGCAATGGATTTTCAGTGAATTGGTTTGGAAAAGATTTTGAAAACAAAGCCCTGGACCAGTGTAGAAGATTCTACTTGAGAGTCTAAAGTTCTATGGAAAATATTTGTTTACTACTCGATGTTATATTCTTTTTTTTCACCTTCAGATGCCTGTGTTGTATCAGAAGACATCATGAAAAGAAATAACATACGATTTCGATGGTCTTCTGAGACAAAACTGTATTCTCAAACAAGGGATACTGTTGAGTTTGAATGTATCCCTGGATATCATTCAAAGACAAACAATCAAGCATTCCGAGCAGTCTGTCATGAAGGGAAAATGACATATCCTGTTTGTGTAATAGGTTATAGTTAAATGCAGTTTTATAATTAAAGTATATACATTTACTGAGAATTTTTATTATCAGTCCAATTCTCAGTTTATTTTGTCAAGTATTGTGTAACTCATTTATATTCATAAATCAGAATTTGTATTAAATATGATGTGGATGATGTAATTATAATCAGAGGAATGAATAAATCACTTCTTAAAAGCACCTCATTAAAACTTGGCAAGCCAAAATGCTTTGTGTCCTATTCATAAAATATCTATGGCAAGAGATTAGGTCACTCCAGTGTCTACTTCTATCCATCTTTCCCTCTAACTTTCTCAAAACGTCTTCCATAACTTCTGAGTCTGCCTGAGACTCTCCATTTCAGAGTAAATGGGAGAAAATGCTTTTCACCATTTTCAAGATAATTTCATTTCAAAAACATGTGAAAACCTAACTATGCCATACCTTATTAATAATACGATATAAGTAGTTATTATTTACTTTTGCTTATCTGTCAATAGCAAAATGAGCAAAACCAAAAAATGATCATAAATGCAAGATTTTCTACAAGATGGCTATATAGCACACATAAAAATTCAAACATATCATAAAGAGAAATTAGAATCTAATTGGGTGCATAACTGTCATAACATGAAACGTGACAAAAAATCTGATTTCAAGTATAAACACACAATATTTTGAACTCTATAAACATATATGTTTATAGAATCTATAAACAGTATAAGCATAACTGTTTATAAAACAAGAACTGTCGGGAAATACAATAAAATATTTACAATAACTACAGTTGAATTTAAAGGTGCTAGGAGTAAGAGTTGGTGTTTAAGCCCTTAAAAGTCACCTGTATTGAGAAGACTGGGTGGCTCAGCGGTTGAGTGTCTGCCTTCCACTCGGGGCATGATCCCAGGTCCCCAGATAGAGTCTGCATAGGGCTCCCTCTGGGGAGCCTGCTTCTCCCTCTGTCTGTGTCTCTGCCTCTTTTTGTCTCTCATGAATGAATAAATAAATAAAATCTTTTTTAAAAAGTCACCTGTATTTTCCAGTTTTTCTATCTTTAGTATTATCACCTTTAAACCACAATAAAGGTGGTTATTTTGATGGGGTGCCTGGCTGGCTCAGTCAATGGAGTGTGCTCATGACCTCAGGGTCATGAATTTGAGCTCCATGTTGAGTATAGAGATTACTTAAATATGTAAATACATCATTTTAAAAATCAAACAAAATAAAGATATATTAAAAGTAGGATGATACATGTTGAGAGCTATGAGGAACTCTTTGGTAACGATCTTCAAACCTAATGACATCTTCATGAGTTTGCTGCAATAGAGGGTTTTGGAAACATTCAACCACAAGAGTCTGAAATATGATTTTTGCGTGCATACATTTCAAACAGCATAATTAGTTAAATTCAGTTGACTGTAAACATTTTTAAATTCTACAAAAATATGAAAACTTTAAGGTGAAAATAAAGATAAAATTAAAGTAAAAATATTTTAAGCTGATAACTTGTTACTTCGTTTTGCATCAAATCAAGTTGCATTCTTAGAATGAGAAACCTGGCTGTCTCTAATAGAGTTGATTTATTTAAATCTGAATCACAAGTGATAGCCAGTTTTCTCATGTTTAAAAGAACACTGTCACAATTGTCAAGTTATCTTTGCTATTAATATTGACATACATACTGTTTCTCCTATAATCAACATATTCTATAAGCAATCATTTTCATTGTTGGCTGCAAAATAGTGATTTTTAAGATGAATTTTATTCTTTTTCTGCAGTTATTGTCATTCTTGTGTAAAGATTAAGTGTTAATTTTCCAATTTCTTAAATCTTTTACCTAAAACTATTTGGTAAATCTTTATTTTTGCTCTTTAATTTCCAATTTTGGAGTAGGACTTGATGATAGTGACTTTCTGTGATGACTTTAAAGATTTTTTCTTTTGTATTATTTTTATTATTTCTTAAGATTTTATTTATTTATTCATGACAGACACATAGAATGAAAGAGAGAGAGAGGCAGAGACACAAGCAGAGGGAGGAGCAGGCTCCATGCAGGGAGCCCAATGTGGGACTCAATCCCAGGTCTCCAGGATCACACCCTGGGCTGAAGGCGGTGCTCAACTGCTGGGCCACGAGGGCTGCCCATCTTTTTTTTTTTTTTTTTTTTTAATGTTCTATCAGAAAGGATTCATGAATTTTTACTTATTCAATTTGTCACAATTATAGTCATTATTCTTTGAAGCTCAAATTATCCCAAATTTGACTAGTGAGTGCCTCTTGAAACTGGCTCCTGATTGTTTTGTTATACCCACGAGTCTTTGAGTGTTTCTTTTCTTTTTAGCACAACAGAATGTTCAGGTTCACCGGTATACTTCCCTGACCAACACCCAAATCATACATCTTTCCAAAAGTCTGATTCTTTTTATTGGGAAATAGTGTTTAGAACACAAAAACTGTGCTATTAGTACTAGATGGGAACATTCAATACTGTTGAAATGTCTTCAAATGTCTTTTTTGCTTGTCAGAAATCTGAAATAGAAGTGAAATTTAAAATTCATTTGCTCTTATTGGTTCTTACAATTCAGGGTTATAAGTAATACAGGGTTAAGAAACTTTAAAATGGCCAGCCTGGGTGGCTTAGTGGTTTAGAGCCACCTTCAGCCCAGGGCATGATCTGATCAAGTCCCACGTCAGGCTCCCTGCGAGGAGCCTGCTTTTCCCCTCTGCCTGTGCCTCTGCCTGTGTCTCTCTCTCTCTGTCTCTCATGAATAAATAAAACTTTTTTTTTTTTTAAGATTTATTTATTCATGAGAGACAGAGAGAGAGAGGCAGAGACACAGGCAGAGGGAGAAGCAAGCTCCATGCACCGGGAGCCCGACGCGGGACTTGATCCCGGGACTCCAGGATTACGCCCTAGGCCAAAGGCAGGCGCTAAACCACTGAGCCACCCAGGGATCCCCCAAAAATAAACTTTTAAATACATTTTTTGTCTTTTCTCTTTATTAATATATTCTTATATTTAAGTATTTTTTTAAATAATACTAGGGGCTCCTGTGCTTAAGCGTCTGCCTTCGGCTCAGGTCATGATCCCAGGCAGGGTCCTGGGATACATCCCCTGTCGGGCTCCTTGCCCAGTGGAGCCCTCTCCCTCTGCTTATCTCCCCCCCCCCCCCCCCCCCGCTTGTGCGCGCTCTCTCTCTCTCTCTCTGTCAAATAAATAAATAAATAAAATCTTTACAAAAATAATATTAAAAGTGTAATGCAAACATTACTATCAGCAGGTAAACTACTGAACAAAGGTTAAAAATGTCTTTGCATTTATTTTGTCCTTAGGATGTTGGACTCTTGAGTGTCAGAACTCTCTTCAAAAATGACTTGAAATAATCCTTACCCCTGGCTGGCTCACTTACCAAATTAATAACATTTTACATTTACTTGCATTAGCATTGTTAGGTTTTTTTCCGAAATGAACGGTGGAGAAATAAAAAAATAAAACAAACAAACAAACAAAAAACAGCAGAGCCCGGCAGTAGGTTGGAGAGTGCTTTAAAGGGGAGCGCTCCCGGGAGAGGTGGCCCAAGTCCGGGAAGTCGCCCGGGGTTGGGGGGGGGTGGTTTAGGCCTTATTGTTTCGGGTCGGACCCGGGTGGGTCTCCTGCCAAATTAGGCAAGGGAACGCCGCGACCCTAGGTGATTGGCTGGGGCTGGGGATGGTCCAGCCGATGGGGGGTGGTCCCTGGATGGAAAGTCCTGGAGGGAAAGTTTCGGTTCCGGTCTAGGATTCGATTTACTGGAGATGATGTGGTGGTCTTGGCTGCTTTGGCAGGAAGACCAGCCTTGGACCCAATTTGAGATGTCTGCTATTTTGGATTGGGCTCAGGCAGCCCAACAAGCTTTTTTTTTTTTTTTTTTTTCAATTTTAGATTTCACCTCTTCCTCTTTTAAGCAAAACTTTTTTTTTAAAGATATGAAACATACATTTTTAAGAAGATTGTGCTTATTTGTTTGATAAAGAGAGACAGAGAAGGGGGAGAGACAGAGGGAGAGGAAGAGTGAGAAACTCCAGCCGACTGAGCTGAGCTTGAACACTGATGTGGTGGGTCTCCAGATCACAACCATGAGATCATGACTTGAGCTGAAACCAATAGTCAGATGCTTCACTGACTGAGCCACCTAGATGCCCCAAACATCTACATATTTTAAAAGTCAAAGTAACATGAGAAGTAGGCAGAGTAGTCTTCCTTCCATCATATCTGTTCCCTCATTTAATAAAGTTATATTTGTATTAGTTTCTGACATCCTTTCAGTGTTCATTAAACTTTCTTTTTTTTTAAAAAAAGATTTTATTTATTTATTCATGAGAGACACAGAGAGAGAGAGAGGCACAGACACAGGCAGAGGCAGAGGGAGAAGCAGGCTCCATGCAGGGAGCCCGATGCGGGATGCGGGACTCGATCCCAGGACTCCAAGATCACACCCTGGACTGAAGGCGGCCCTAAACCGCTGAGCCACAGAGGCTGCCCTAATCTTTCTTTTAATAGCAAAGGAAGATTACTTAACACATGTATCTGGACTTTGCTTTCATATTTATTTTTTAGTATTTATTTCTAATATTCCCCTGAACTGCCTTCCTCAGCTCCCTGGACAGAGGCTGCCTCAGTAGCTGTTCAGCCATCTACCTAGTCAACAGCACAGTCTGGCATCACAACCCCTCCGAAATGTGGCTGGGTTGGGGACCCACAGGGAGAAAGCTCTGTGGCTTTGTCCTCCTCTGGGCTCCTTTGACTGGCCTTTGTGGCTGGGATGCTTCAGAATAAAGGTCCAGTGGGTCAGAAGTATCGGAGGAGCCCCACCTGGGGCTGGCCCGAGTGGGATGAGGAGCCCTTCCTATGATGGTGGTGGGCAGACACTGTGGAAGGCCTCATCTTTGGGCAGCTAGTGTGGAATTTTTTTTTTTTTAGGGTAACTGTGTCATCCAGTCACACAATTAGGATTTTTTTTTTCTTGATGAATGGACATCCTGACCTTGACTTTTCATATGGAAAATTTAATTTAGTATAAGGGCCAGGACCCCACGTGTGCACAGCAGCCCCTCTCAGGGAAACCCAATTTCTCACCTCGGTGGGAGGCATTTTAAATCTATTACTGGAAAATTGCCAAGTGCTGTGTAACATATCACATACATCACCTAAATAGTTTCTAATGGAAACCCTGTGAGATGCATATTGCATCCACATCTTTCAGAGATGAAAGCGTTTCAGAAAGAATAAGCTGTTGGCCAGTGATCACACTGATGAAGTTTTGAAATATGGGGGAGGTGTGGAGCAGATGACCAAGGAAGAATTCTTGAGACAGCTTTGGTGCAAAATGGTGTTTTATTAAACCTTGGGGACAGGATCCATGGGCAGGAAGAGCTGCTGCCCCGGGCCTCTGAGGGGTGGCTGATTATATACCCAGGAGTTGGGGGAAATAAGCAAAAGGGAGATTTCAAAAGGATGTTCATGTGCTAAGGAGGACCTACAGGGTAGGCCTTGCTGTTGTCAGGTTAACGATAGATTTCCCCTCGAGGAAGGCATTAACATGGAGACAATTAGAAACTTCCTAAGAATGTCACGCGTCTCCCACCCTGGGCTGGGGCGGGGGTGGGGGTGGGGGTGGGGGTGGGGGTGGGGTCCGTTTGTGGGATACCAGCTGTGCTTTATCCTCGGCTAGCCCTATTCCCCCCATCAACATTGCTAGGGAGAAGGCAAACCACATTCTTCTTTGAAGATTTGATGTATTTATGGGTCTCTTGAGAGACACACAGAGGCAGAGACCCAGGCAGAGGGAGAAGCAAGCTCAATGTGAGACTCAATTCCAGGACCCCGGGATCACACCCCGAGCCCAAGGCAGCTGCTCCACCACTGAGCCACAAGGCGTCCCCGCAAACTTTGATCTATCTCACAGATTTTTTTTTTAAATAACCAATGTTATATAATATAAATAAATAAATAAATAACCAATGTTATTCAATTAGTTTTGGGAACAACC